TTCACCTGGTCAAAATTGTGTTTGTGCGCGTCTTCAGTCATTTGTGGTCATTTTAGAAATACAACCGTAACTAAGATACCGAGTGTCAAGACATACCAAACGACAGGTGAAGGAGAAAGGGCGAATCAGAGACGTCAAGAGAAGTAGGAGGAAATGAAAGATTGATGAAGGCATCCCGAGCACTGGATAGAGCGAATGGGGACTCGTGGCAAGAACAAGTGGAAGAGGATAAGACGAAAGACAATTTGCTGGCGGATAGTATCGGAACAACAACGATGATGAAGATGTGGGGCGGTTGAAAGACTAGATTGCCGAAACAACAGTTCGTCGGGGCGAACAGAGCGATAGATGTAACGATTGCACTGCTACCAAGACAATTAGAACAACATGTCGACAAACAACTAGCATAACCCGGCCTGGTCGTTAGCCGGCTTGTCCGGAGATGTGCAAATAGCACAGACAGGTACAGAAATGTGAACATTCAGTGTAGACATGCATGGCGTGACAAGAGGGCAAGGACAGAAAGGCAGGCGATTAGATCACATATGATGAATGGTGATGAGGTCGACGCAGGCAATGAAGACTACTACGGTCACAGTAATGATGCTAAATATACTAGTCATACTAATTATGAAGTAGGAGGGTGATACTAATGACAACGATAGTGGTGCTTCTATTCGTCGTCGATCGATTGCCCATGTCTGATTGGTCAAATGTCGACAGAGGAGAAGGCTCGAAGGGCCAGAGACAGGCAGACAGATCGGTTGGGAGAATGGTCGAGAAGGTGGGCAAGAGACGGAGTCAAAGTCTAGCTCCAATTGGCTGATTGCTGGCCTTCTAAGGTTGCCATTTCGATGGAGCTGCTGTCTGAGAGCAACGAGTCCTTCATGTCGAAGTGTTCAGATATGTGCATGTTCAGATGTGTGCACATAGTCGTGTGTGTGTGTGTGTGTGTGTGTGTGTGTATGTGTGTGCGTGTGTTTGCGTATTTATGCTTACCTGGGCAGTGCTCTGGAGACTGACGAACTCAGAAACTACTAGCCGAGAAGGAAAGGCAAGTCACAAGAAAGCTTGCCCAAGATAATAGGACACCCTATGCGCACTTTGCTGGATAATGCGATTAAGATAAAGTATGCAATCCTTCATCTATCTATCTATCTATTCATATATATATATATAATTATATATATATATTTTTGTACTGGCGTAATTGAATGATTTTCCTATGCCATCGAAACTAGTG